AGGTTTTCTATCCCACCAAAGGGGTAGGGCGCAAACACCTCGCCTTTGCCCCGGGCATGGGGGGAGGGGCGGGGGATTTCTGCCTCCTGTTGAAAGGGCTACTTAGTATGAGAGGAAGATTGTTTTTAATAATACTTCGGGGAAATCAGTGTGTTCCGAGAAAGACGCGGCCTTTCTTCTCCTAGAGTGGGAAGGATGGAAAGAGGAAGAGGAAGACGGAAACAAAGTCGCCTGTAAGCCCTGCTGTTAAGGTGAAGTTCACAGGGACCAGGAGGCGTTCAGGGGGTGAAAAAAAGCAAGCATTGTGTTTTCTCCTGGAAGGGGGGGGGGAAAGGCGTGGGACGAAACTTGTTGAGGGTTTTAAAAACTTTTGCGACTCGCGATGGGCCAGTCAGGCCTACTTCGACACAGGAGCGGTCTTGCCTTTCCTATTATAGAAGCGTCTCTCGCCAGTTCAAAGGTGGAAGCCAAGAGAGCTGGAAGCTTCAGCTGAGCTGGTGCAAGCCTGGCTCGGGTAGAAGCCAGCTACCGCCAATCAGCCCCTTCCCCGCACATTTCTCCCTCTCCCCCTCCCTCTCGCCCTCCCCAAAGACTTGACCTTAGCAAACTTGGTCAGGCAGAAGGTGCGGTGGATCTGAATGAGATTTGCATATTGCCACTAAGACCTCCCGAAGTCGCAGCCCTCCTCCTTCTTGGAGTGGGTGAAGTGTTCCTTTTGTGTGAATTTACGGGGTGAGGCTTCAATGATCCCCCACAAATTTGCATTTAAATAGCGACATCAAGCGATTCGCGTGCCACACACCAGTGGGCTCCCAGATGTCAAGCCGAAGTCAGTCAGATGGCCATTGCCCAGCTGTCCTTCTAAACATCATACCAGAGCATGCCGCGACCTTAAAGGGACAGAGCCCTTCCTTGGCGTCAGCCACCATATAAGCTCCTTCCCAATGGGGCAAGGGGGGGGGGGGAAACAGCGGACACATCCGAACCAGCCATTCAACCTGTTTCATTGTATAGTCCCCTCTGTTAAAAGGCCAGAGAGAAAAGAAATAGCACGTTGCGCCATAAATCACACACACCACCCTCTCTCTACTTTCTTTTCTGTTTTCTCTGACAAACCACGGCCATAATGATCCATAGTCTTAGACCGTACAAAATCCCACTGATTCAGGCTGATAGATTCATTTCTCAAGTTTGGGAAAGGTTTCTCTCTTTTCTTTCTCTTTCTCTCTCTCTCTCTCTCTCTCTCT